TTTCTATGAATTGTCTGTTCATATATTTTATCCAATTTTTATTGGGTCATTTTCCTTATACTGGCTACTAATCCTTTGTTCATTAAACTAAAACCAAACCAAACTCACAGCCATCGAGTGGATTCCAACTCCTAGCAACTTCCATTGGGTTTTCAAGGTGAGGCAATATATCTTTATGAAAGTAGATTGCCCCATCTTCCTTCTTCAGAGAAGCTGGTGGGTTTGAATTGCCAACCTGCTGATTAGCAATCAAGTGCCTTAGGCACTACACCACCAGAGCACCTCTTAATTTGTTACAGGCTTAAAAATATCTTCTCCCAATCTGTAGGAGCTCTGATGGCGTGGTGTCTAAGGCATTTGACTGCTAACGGGAAAGGTTGACAGTTCAAATCCACCAGCCACTCCTCGAAAGGAACACTGGACAATTATTTCCCTGTGATACTGCCTCAGAAACTCAAGGAGGGGTCATTATGAGTTGGGTCTGACTCCATGGCAGTGAGTTCTCCCACTCTGTGGTTGATTTTTAACTGTGTTTACACTGTTTTTAGTTGAACAGAAATTTGGGGTTTTTGTTTTGTTTTTACATAGTCAAATCTTTTCCAAGATTATTTGTACTTTCATGTGTTTTATTTAAGAAATTGTACTGTATTCCCAATCATAAAGATATCCTTTGCATGTTGTTTTGTAAAAATGTTTACATTTTACATTTAGGCATTTCATCTATCTGAATTAAAGATACACTGGAGCTATTTTCATGTTTGTGCTTGCCATACCAAAAAACCCCACTGCTATCTAGTTGATTCCAAGCCATAGCAACCCTCATCAGGTTTCCAAGGCATTAAATCTTTACGGAAGTAGATTCCCCCGTCTTTCCTTCCACAGAGCAGCTAGTGCATTTGAACTGCCAACCTTCTCTGGTTAGCAGTCAAATGCCTTAGACATTTTTTTTGTACGCCACTAGAGCTCATACCAAAAAAGAAAGAAAGAAAGAAAGAAAGAAAGAAAGAAAGAAAGAAACGCACTGCCATCAATCAAATCAATTCCAACTCATAGCAACTCCCTTTGGCTTTCTGAGGTGGTAAATCTTTACAGAAGTAAATTGCCCAGTCTTCCTTCTGCAAAGTGGCTGGTGAGTTTGAACCACAAACCTCCTCATTAGCAGTCACATGCCTTAGACACTGTGCTACCAGCACTCCTTCCAGAGCTCAAAGGGATAGGCAATTGTCAGCACTATTTTTCAGATAGCCCATTCTGTCCCACTAATGTGGATGGCATCCTTTTCATATAACAAGTCTCCAAGTAGACATGGCTGTATTTCTGAGCTCTCTATTCTGTTCTACTTTCCTATTTGTCAGGCCCTTTGTCTTTATTAAGGAGCTCTGGTGGCGTAGTGGGTAGGGCATTTGGCTGCTAACCAGAAGGTGGGTGGTTCAAACCTACCACCTGTTTCACTGGGGGAAGGTGAGGCAACTTACTTCCATAAAGATTTACAGCCTTGGTAACCCATTGGGGGTTGCTGTGGTCAGAATTGACTCAATGGCAGTGGGTTTTGGTTTTGGCTTAATTACCACAACTTTAATTGTTATAGCTTTATTATAGCCCTGATTTCTGGTAGGGCTGATTCTCTCCTTACACTTTGTCAAAAATGTCTTGGTTTATCTCAGCCCTTCACTCTTCCATGTACAGTTTTGAATGAATCATTAGAGGAAAAAAAAAAAAAAACCTATAGGAATTTTTATTGCAGTCACATCACAGGCCTCTCAAAAAGTAATCAGTGCAAGATTTGCTAGTTCTTCCAGAACAGCTCTTTCCTAAAAACTATTTAATCTAAGGAATAGCAGAGTTTACAAATGAAAAGGGAAAGGGTTTTCACCACCTCCTCCAATGGGCTCCCCTTCCTGATTCTCCTATTTCTGCCCATGGCCTCAAAATCCAAATCCTAGGAGTCCTCATGAGCGTCTCTTTCCTTTATTTATCTTGTTGCTGAAGTAGATTGCCCCATCTTCCTTCTGAGGAGTGGCTGGTGGATTTGAACCGCCAGCCTCCTGGTTAGCAGTCAAGTGCCTTAGACACTACGCTACCAGAGCTCCCTCATTTATCTTAGCCAGCCAAATTGCCCCTGCTCTTTTTTTTTTTTTTTTTGTATGCCTCTGTATTCCAACCCTTTCTTCCCTTTTGTTTCGTTTACTTAGTGCCACTCTAACAGAAAATAACACAAATGAGTGGCTTTAACAAACAGATTTATTCTCACAATTTAGGAGGCTAGAAGTCTGAGTTTAAAATCCCAGAGGCTGGGTGAAAGCCCCTTGACCTTGGGCTTCAGCTCTGCCTCTTGCTCCCAGCCCACTGGAGCTGGAGGCATCTCTTAACTCAGTGGCTGCTGGCTACTGAGGTTGACAAACCCAAGGTTGACAAATGAAATGGCACAGTTCCAAGACTACCAAACATGGCAGACCACTAGTTCAAGTCCAGAGACAGTCCCAAGATTGGCAGGAAACATGACAGGCTGCTGAATGAAGACTCAGCTACATGCAGGGTCCAAATGTGCCAAAAACCTCAGAGACCTTTGTCAAAGCTGATGTCTTATATACTGGAAGCAGACCACATCACTAAGGCCGCTGCTCAGCTGCTCCAGTAGATTCCATCATGAAGGTGATTATGACCTCATCATGGGGAATAACTATATCCAGCTGCCCAGCCACTCAAAACCAGGCCCAGCCAAGTTGACATACAACTTAACTACCACACCCTTTTCTCCCTGTCACTGCCTTGGCTCAGACTCTTGTCTCTCATCCTCGACTGGGGCAATAACCTCTAATTTATATCCCTGCTTCTCAAGGCTTTTCTTTCCCACCATCTATCCTGATTACTGATTAACGGTCCTGAAGCACTACTTCCATCCAGCCCCTCCCAACCCCACAGCCCTCACTCCTTGTGTCTGCAGGATAAAGTACAACTCCTCTGCCTGATGCACATCAGGCCCTACCTTACCTGCCCAGCCCACTCGAATGTCCCCTGCTTTTCCCCAGTCCTTGAATTCAACCTTGAATCTAGTCATGTCTAGCTCCTCACTGCCTGGGGGAACACTCCTGCTCAGTCTATCTCCATCCCCACCCAAGGAGTGCCTGTCCTCCAAACCCTACCCACTCTAATGGCTCCATTTGCAACAGGGCACCTCAGCCAACTCCAAGACCCATAACAGTCTTCCTACTTTGAACATCCTTGGTGCTTTCAACTGCACATTTTGCAACAAAGCAAGGTGAGCACCATTTTTACTGTGTGAGGCAGGATTTCTCAACCTCGGAAATACTGACACTTTGTCCTGGATAATTCTCTGTTGTGGAGTGCTGTCTGGTGCATTGGAAGCTCTTTAGCAGCATTTCTGGCCTCTACCCATTAGATGCTAGTGCACCTTCCCAGTTGTGGCAACCAAAATTGTTTCCAGACATTGCCAAATATCCCCTGGGGGACAAAGCCACCCCTAACTGGGGGATTGGTACAGGAGATGCCGGATAGAGTAGAAGAACAATGTGGAACAAAACTCAAAATCATAAGAAAGGAGACCAGCTTTGCTGGTCTGATAGAGCCTGGTGAGACCCCTGAGACTATGGACCTTCAGGTCTGGAACTGAACTCACTCCTGTGTTTTCCAGCCAAATAATAGGCATATGGGGTGAACATTTACATCAGGTAGATACACTCCTTGGAGTGATCGATCAATGATCCATCATGGGAGAACAGAAGGGCAGTGTTTGCACGGGGAGAAAGCTGGGGGAAGGGGGTGGGGTGGGCAGGAGTGCATGGGAGGGAAGGACACAGGGAAGAGGTAACTATGAGGAGGAAGTGGGAAGAGAGCTGTTACATTGTGGGGAATTTCAGTCAATGTCATGAGACAAAATGTATATGAACTGCTGTATGATGAATTTGCTCTGTAAACTTTTACCCAAATCACAATAAAAATTAAAAAAAAAAAATCACCCCTCACAGAGGACCACTGGTGTAAGGGAAAACGTGTACAGTCAGGTGCACTCTCTGAACAGGAGGTTACTGGGGCTGGATGTAGCAGCTGCCCACTGTTCCTAATCCACAGAGGCTACAAGGCATCTCTGGACACTCTCTAGCGTTAGCTATCCCTCTGGACCAGAGCGTCTGGAATGAGGCTGAGCATAACCCACGGGCAGGGCCCATGTCTGCCTGCTAATACACACAGCCTGGGTGCTGTGGCTCAGACAGCATCTACTCCATGATGTGACAGCATCAGGAAGGAACCTGGGAAAAGCATGAAGACACAGACTCCTATCCCTCACATCTCAGCAGTGAGCCATGCAGTTAGAACATGAAAGATGTGAACCATATTTGCTATAAAGATGCTAGGGCCATTTGGTTGTCAATGTTTTAGGTGTCCAGGGAACAAATTCGGTTCTATCTTATTCTTTTCATTGAAGGAAAAACACCAAAACCAATTCACTAATAGGATCTAGTTGGCCAACACTATAAGAATATTTTATAGCTTCACCTAAGTTTTAAGAACATTATTCTTCAAACACTACTGCTCTAAAATGATACAGGCACCTTCCCAAGAAGGCTATTGTGAAGCCCTCCCACCCAAAGTATCCTGTGAGGACCAGATCATTTGGACAGCATCTTGAAAAGTGATTTTAATCCCTGGATGGCCCTGGGGTCTAAAAATGCTCTAGGCTACTGTCTCCCCACTTTGAATAAGCTTCAAGACTGCGATTTGTGGAATCCCAATGTGGACTCATCTCCTGGGCTAGGGTGTCTTGGCCCCCGTTTGGCTATTGAGTTCTTGGGGAGTTGCTCTTCTCCAAAGCCTTAGCCACAAAAGACACTGGGTCAGCATCCTCCTGGGGCTCTCCAGGCTGGCCACCTCAGGACCACCTCTCCTCTCCCTCTCTCCCCAGCTCCCCAGCAGTGTCCTGACTTCCCTCAGGGGCTCCCATGTCCTCTTTCAGTTCCCTCCAGAGAGTGCCCCTGACTCACCTCTCAGGAGCTGAGCTGCAGTGGGAGGGTGAGAGAAACAGGCAGAGGGGATGCTGTAATTGTTCTCTAGTACCTCCAGAAGATCTGCTGTGTACCTGAGGAGATACAAGCCTGCATTCAGAATTGTGGGGCCTGGAGGCTAGGGAGTGGAGTGGCAGAAGTGACACCAGTTACTGATGTCCTCAAACATTTCTGGGTTCAGGACGCTTGTCCATTCCCCTTCAGGGCCCTGTGAGAGACAGGCTGGGACAGAGGGAATGTAGAACTGTCCCAAGCCAGTGTGTAAAGCAGGCTGCCACCTAGGCCTGGTGGGGGGGTGGGTGAGTCTGACTGTGGTGACCAAAGAGACCACAGTCAATTCTCTCCACTCCCACTGAGGCAGCAGCCCAGGGGCTGGCTGAGGAGAAAGAACAAGTTCGCAGAGCCAGGCTTCTCTGGCAGCGGACCCTTAGCATCAGCGGCTGCACTGGGTCCCCAGCTAGTGTGGTTGGCCTGGGAGCCTTGCACTCTCTCTAGGAATGCTCTCAAACACCGCCACCTCTGGGATCTTTCTCTCTGAGATTTGGGTTGGGGGAAAAAACCAAGGCCCTGGGGTGTTACATTAGCCCCAAACCACAATATCCCTTGGAGCCTAAGAGACAGCCAACCAGATTACTTTCAGTCTTGTCTCATTCTGGGTGCTGGGAGCCAAAGGGCTCTGGAAGGGAGGTGAAGACAGGCCAGAGCATAGGGGCTTCCATTGCTTAGCAACTGGTTCCTACCCTGGACCCCAGCGCCCTCACTTACCTAGGGTCAAGCTTTATGTGGGTCCTGTCTGGCTCCATGTTCTATTTATTTCCTGGGCAGGGCAGGCAGGGCGGGCGGGCAGGGCCGGCCGGTGCTGGCTGAGGGAGACAGCTGCTGGCAGGTGGAGTGGCCGGTCTTCCCCTCCGGCCGCCTCCCTCCACGGGTCTCCAGCACCAACAAGTTTCTGTCTCAGAGTTCACACTGGAGGAATTTGATCCTCTTGGCTGGCTGAGTTTCTGACTCCTCCCTGAGCCTAGGTATGGTCCCTCCCTGCTACCCTTGGACAAATGCCTTTGGCTACCCCCTTTCTAGGAGCTCTGGTAGCATAGTACCTAAGGCACTTGACTGTTAACCAGAAGGCTGGCGGTTCAAACCCACCAGCTACTCCTCGGAAGAAAGGTTGTGCAATCTACTTCCATAGTGATACCGCCTCAGAAACCCAGGGAGGGGGTTGCTATGAGTCAAGTCTGACTCAACGGCATGTAACAACAACAACAATACCCCCTTTCTGTACCCCACCCCTTCTAAGGAGCCTTCCAGAATGGCTGGACCCCAGACACAATTCTTCTGGTCCAGGCTAGGGTGAAGACTAAGTCTTGGCTTCTTCCCATGACACACCCTGGGCAGCAACCTTGGAGAACCTGGCTGGGGCTCCCCTGTGACCCCTGGAGAAGAGAGACTCAGGGCCAGGCCTTGGCTGTGTCTGGTGCTTGTTGGCTTGGTGTGGAAAAGAAGCCAGGTGAGGCATATGAGGGGTTTCCCAAAAGCCAACCCCACACATCTTGAGGATGGGTTTTTGTAGCCAAATGGTTGACCCTGAAGATTCAGCAAAAGGAGGCTGTATTTAAGAGGCAGAGTTGCAGAGTGAGAGTTCTGAGCACTTTGACAGATTTTTGCAAAACTGTGCCAAATGATGTACTTACGAACTCTTTCCTTGGTTGGTAGTTTTTCTTGTCTCTCCAAGTAGATTTAAATCCTTTGAGGCTAAACACAGTGTACTGCAGAAACCTTAGGTTCCTGGCACAGGCCTGACACATACTAAGTGTTCCCTAGCATTTGGTTGCATGATTAATAAAATAATACAATTGCAGCAATAGCAGCAGCCAATGTCTATGGAGAAATTATGGCTTGCTGGGGAAATGTAATATATTTCTTATCTCACTTAAGCCTTACAACCACTCTTATGTAAGGTAAGTACTGTCTTTACTCCCATTTTACAGATGAGGAAGCTGAGGCTGAGTGAGGCCAAGAAACCAGGTTATCTAAAGAGCCAGGAAGGGATGTAGAGAGAGGCAGAAAGGACTGGTGGAGGGGCTCTGTTGCAGTTCAGGTGAAGACTTTAGAGGGTGAAAAAGGAATGAATTAGAGGCTCGAGAGGGTCTGTTTTGGGGAAGGCAGAGGAGGCTCCCTGCCCTGGGCTGCTGATATAAGCAGAGGAAGTGGGTACTGATGTGGTAGTAGGACGATTCCCTAATCTTGTCCAAAACACCTCAAAATTTCTCCTGAGGGTCAAGCAGCATCCTCTCCCTGTTTTACCTTTCTCTTAAAGTGCAGATTCTTGGGACAGTACAATGCAGTGAACCAGGAACCTCAGGAGCCCAAACGTACGGGGTGTCAAGAGGAGGGTTGGGTGGGCAGAATTCCTGAGGCAGAGATAAGGGCACAAAAAAGGAAAGCAAGGGCATTGACTCCCAGGCGCCAACTGCCTCAGTCCAACCTTCACAAAGATATAGGCTGACTCAGCTTCCTCAAACCGTTTCCACAGGAACACTCCCTGGGTCATTCATCTCTAGCCCAGTAAGAGGCCTTGAGTTTAATTGCTCAAAGGCCTGAACTTTAGACTTCCCTAGAGCAGATAACAGGGTACTGAGGATGTTGTCTGAAGCTTCTTCAGGACAGAATTGAGGGCTGGGGAGGAAGGAGAGGAGGGTTGAAGAGCAGTACAGAGTTGAGAGGGGAAGGCAGTGGGTTGAGATTCTGCATCTGCAACTGGGCACCAGAGACTGCAAGACCACAGGGGGGGACTGGACCATCCTTAGGGTGGACATTGACTAAGGGAGGAAGAAATGGCAAAGTGAGGGTGAGTGGGAGGGCCTAAGCACTGCTGGGCATTTCTGTCCCACTCAAAGCCCCTAAGTGACTATGTCTATACATTCCACTGCCCATGGATTAAACCAGGGCAAACCCCCGACTCAGGCCAGCCCTCCATAGCTAAGACTCGGCAAGAAAAGATGAGGTAGGCAAGCCAATCAGATTATTCTCTTGGCAATTTTGGAACTAGGACACCAAGAGACAGCTAGCTGTAAGATGCTAATGTTTAGAACCAAGAAAAATGAATCAAGTGGTGTTTTTTTTTTTCCTTCTAATTTTCCCCACAAAATTGTGTGATAACATGATATAACATCTGTCACTTCAGTTTGGGCTTTCTCAGTAGAAGTGTCATTTTTGAAAATAATAAAACAATAATAATAAGGGTTTCATCCATTTTCCCCAGACCTTCTCAATTATTTGATACTCAAAGGCTATTCTCTCTTCTTTTAAAAAATTCTTAATGAGATAATATTTGCAAAACAAAATTCACCGATTTAGTTATTTAAAAGTATACAATTCAGTGATTTTTAGTATATTCACAATGTTTACCATCATCACCATTATATAATTCCAGAATATTTTATTACCCCAAAAAGAAACCCCATATTTCCTCATTCACCACCCCTCTTGTCCTGAGAACCACTAATCTACTTTCTGTCTCTATGGATTTGCCTATTTTGGACATTTCATATAAATGAATTCATAAAATATGTGGCCCTTTGTGTCTAACTTCTTTCACTTAGCATCATGTTCTGAAGGTTCAATCATGTTATGTGGCATATATCAAGGAATGCCTCTTCATGGTTGAATAATATTCCACTGTATGTATATACCACTTTTATTTATCTGTTCATCAGTTGATGAGCATTTAGGTTGTTTCCACTTTTTGCTTATTGTGAGTAATGCTCCTGTGAATATTTGTGTACAATTTTTTTGTGTGAACGCATGCTTCCAGTTCTCTTGGTTACCTAAGAGTAAAATTACTGGGTGTTATGATAACTCTGTTTAGAATTTTGAGGAACTGCCACACTGTTTTTCACAACTGCTGCATTATTGTACATTCCCATCAGCAATGGATAAAAGTTCCAGTTTCTTCATATCCTTGCCAACACATGTTATCCAAGCCCTCTCCTCACTTTAGACAAAAAAAATTATAGCCTTCCTCATGGGCACGAAAACAGCCTTAGTAGCACAATGGTTAACCATTCAGATGCTAACTGAAAATTCAGCTGTTTGAACTCAACAGTCTCTCAGAGGGAGAAAATAACTGGTGATCTCCTTCCGTAAAGATTACAGCCTTGGCAGAGCAATAAAGCAAGAAAGGAAGATAAAGTATATCCCAGTTGGAAAGGAAGAAATAAAACTATCTCTATTTGCAGATGACATGATCCTATGCATAGAAAATCCCAGAAATTCCACAAGAAAGCTAGTGGATCCAATAGAAAGATTTAGCAAAGTGGCAGGGAACAAAATCATCATACAAAAGTCAGTTGGGTTCCTTTACACTAACAAGGAGAACTCTGAAAGGAAACTAAGAAAACAATACTATTTAAAAAAATGTGATTAGGGTGGAAGGTTACAGAGCAAATTCATTTTCCATACAGCAGTTCTTCCACGTTTTGTTTCATGGCATTGATTACAATTCCCATAATGTAATAGACAGCTGTCTTCCCACTTACTCCCTGTGGTTGCCTTTTCCCAGTGTTCTTTTTTCCTATGCATTCCTGACCTCTGAACTATCTCCCTGTGCAAATACAGTCCTTCTGATCTTCTAGAAAACAATACCATTTACAGTAGCCTCCAAAAGGACATAATATCTAAGAATAAACTTAACCAGGGATAAAGAAGACATACACAATGAAAACTATGAAATACTATTGCAGGAATCTAAAAAAGACCTACATACATGGAAAAACATTCCATACTCATGGGTTGGAAGACTCAACACTGTGAAAATGTCAATACTATACAAGTGGTCTGTAGATAATAACGCACTCTAGATCTAAACTGCAACAACATTCTTTACTGAAATTGAAAAATGTATCACTAATTTTATATGGAAAGGAAAGAGCCCCTGGTTAGCCAAAACAATATTGAAGGAGAGGAACAAAGTAAGAGTTCTCATACTTCTCAATCTCAAAACTTACTATATAGCCACAGTAATCAAAGAGGCTGGTGCTTGTTCAATGACAGACACAGAAACCAATGGAATAGAATTGAGAACCTAGAAGTAAATCCATCTATGGGCAGCTGATTTTCAACAAGGGGTCAAAGTCCATTCAATGGGGAAGAAACAGTCTCTTTAACAACAACAA